CGCTACACTGAATACATTGACTTCCTCTTCACACCCACAGCTGAGCTGTGCCTTTCTTCCCCATTTCCACTGATATGCTTGGCAAACATCACCAAACTTCTCTGTAGATGACAGGCTCTGCAGCACCCTCTCTTAGACCATTGCATGTGACTAGAGTGGCCCCACCTCCAATGAGATGGAGCCAGACCAGGCTCACACCTCATCTACATATACATTTCTGGAGGATCCCAGGACTCATGACAAGAACACCTGGTTCTGGTTGGGCGGGGGAGGGGCTAATTAGCACATGGATCCCTTGGGGGCGGGGTGTTAAGGGGGTAATCTAGAGTACTCACACATACTAAGCAGTGTTTGGCTGTGGGGTCACCATGGCTTGAAACTCTGTTGACTCTCCTGGGGCCTAGTCTAATGAATTATATGATAAATCAAGAGCCTGTTGGCTTTGGACTGATACCTTGCATATGTATAAGGAGGTATAAAAGTGATGTTCAAAAGTGTTTATGGTGTACTTGGTGCTGCAACTTGCAACAGTTTGCAAAAAACGTTAAAATGCTTCAATTCTGGATCAACTAAGTCTATAGGTACCCACAGTAATTTGCCTATATGTGAATTACTATAGGTATGTTTAATTCAAACTTAGTGTTTTTGATCCTTTGCATTTGAATAGGGTCTGAGTAGAATCTGACAAGAGGGGGGTGGATGGAGCTGCACGGGGGAGAATTTAGGGGAGAAGGGGGGCAAAGGGACCACCTGATACCCCCCACCTACTATGTTCCCTGCTGTAGCAATGGGAAGAGTACAAATTCAAGAGGAACTTCTTTGATTTAGGGTGTTTTAGATTAAATACACCAGTTCCTTCGGTAAGGAACCTGCAACCAGACCTCAAAAATCCAACTCCACTTCTGTTCCCTTAATAGTCTGCTGCATTTCTTAAGCATTCAGGGCAAGCTCTGCATTCATATGTTTGGATAGTGCTCAATAAATATGGTTTTCAGTGGGTAAAATGACAACATAGCTATGGTATTTACAATAAGTCTGGACAACTGTTAATATGGTACGATACTTTAGGGATACCCAACGATAACGTTTAATTCACTTCAACTTCTTGAGAAGGACAGCTTCACACTGAAGAGGGTTAAATAATATGGATCTTCCTTTGCTCATCCAACTTCCCTGGCCTGGAAACAAGAGGGTAGGTGGCAGCCTCTCTCAGGGAAAGAAGTGCATTAGAACTAGTCTTCTGTGTGACTATAGGATACAAGCCCTTGGTGAAGACCTATGTCCTGCTTGAGAGCCAGAATATAGATCTATTATGACCTACAAAGATGAACACCTTCACTTAACATCTAAACTATATTTCTGCTGAAGAGCCATGGCTATTTTCACTTTGAATTATTTTGATTTTTGTGCTGGGAAGAAACTTCGATTATGACAAAAAGTTTTCAACCGGGCTGCCTCTACTTGCAGAGAAAGGACTGCGGTTAAAACCCACAGAAATGTAAACAGCCCACTGCTAATGGAGATTGTTAAAGTCATCCTTAAAGCAGGAGGGCTGTCAGCTTCAGTTAAAGCACCACCAGCACGTGTTTAAGAGACAATGATTTGACAGTCTGGATTTAAGATTATTCCTTCAGTATCTAGTTGCCTCAGATTCTTCTCACCAGACACCAGTTTATGATAAAGACCAGTGGCCAGCAACCTTTTCAAGCGGCAGGCCAGAACAGCCTGGTTCTGGTCCAATGTGGACCAGGTGGATTCCACGGCACACCAGCAGCCAAAGGCTTTCCTTGCATCTACACCAGAACCATGCAGGTGGGAGCTGCCTCCCCTTCACACTTCACCCAGCCCCCGCTCCTGAACTGGAGTGCAGGTACAGCTTCCAGCCAGTAGGGAGTTGCATGCATGCTGTTACCACTTCTGCAATGCAGGTGGGAGCTGAAAGGAGGTGCTACATCTGGGGAGAGGCTAGGAGGTGGGGGAAGACACAGTGGTGGTACTCATGGAGCTTGAGACTGACCAGGCCTGGCACAGCTCCTCACCGCTTAACCCCAGCACAGGTATAAGCAAAGTCCCTGGGCTCTGAGCACTGAATTCAGTGGCTCTGCAGACTATATGTTGCTGACCAAAGACCATTATTTGTTGCGGTTGCTAAAACTACAGAGAGACTCAAACATTTCTTCCAATACCATTGATAATAAGGTGCTAATGTACCTGCAAGCTGCAGTGGAAAGAGGATGAGGCACCTCTCAGTTCAGTGTTAAGATTCTTCTACAGCAAAAGTTTTGTTATCCAGCACCCAAGAGGGATGGGGGGTGCCAGATAATCAAATATGACAGTTACCCGAGAGGTCTGAACAGGCATCTTTGCCTGTTCAGGCTGCTACCCCTCCTGCCACGTGAGTGTGCTGGGGGACAAGGAGGGGGAACCCATGCAGGCTGCTTTGCGGCTGTGGGGGCTCAGTAGCGCAGGCTGCTTTAGCCGTGGGGGCTCAGCAGCGCAGACTGCTTTGCCCCGGGCCATGGGGGCTCGGCGAAACTTCCAGTTTTGCTTTTGCCACATCAACCAGCATGCCGGTTAATAGAGCATGCCTGTTTGTAAGGTGCCAGATCAAGTGCAGCAAAAGCCGCGTTAATGACTAGCAACATTTTCAAGTTATGGACCAGAATAAGCCAGATCAGGTCAGAGGTGGGAGGGCACAAGCCACTAAACGCTGCTTCTCTCCATGCCAATATGGAGAGAGCTTCCACTGCTGATGCCCCATGTCCACAGGCCAGATCAAATGGTCCTGCAGGTCACAGGCTTCCAACTGGTCCTAGTTAGATGCATTTCAATATTAGTACAACCTGAGTAACTGTCCACTCACCACTCATTTGCAACTAACCAAGAGTTAGTAATACAGGCTATATTGTGGCCGATGTCTGCAGTATGTTTGACAGGCCAATATTCTTTTCTTGACTCTATACTGAATGTACACAAATGTAAGCTGGTTTAAGTGTAGCAACCCTTAATGCAACCACGTTACATTACTGTACTATAGTCTCTCTGGCAGCAGGTAGCATGTTGAATTTTGAGAACATAAAAGGTCTGTATTCTCCCTGCATTACAGCAGTCTCTCTGCTGTACAAATATAGGGAAGAATGAATCGTTAATTTATCATGTATGTAGGAACAGGAAGCCTCTACCACAGCTTTAAAAAATTGTCAAGACCACGTGAAAATAGCTATTTTACAATGTATGCTAGCAATTAAGATGTCACAATAGGGCAAAATGGCAGGGCAGGGGCATTGAGATTCTTCGATTGAAACAGAACAATTTAGCTTGTTATGATGCACACTTTTCATCCAGAAAATCCGAAAGAATTTTCTATAGACATATTATGAACTCATTCAATTTTGAAACAGTTATACTTGTTTCACCACAGATTCAACACACAGAAAAACCAAGAACAGTAGTAAGTGGCATACAATACACCTAATGCTGTATTTAGAAAATAAGAAAGTTATAAGTTACATTTTTGCCGTAAGAGTGGTTTTCAAATTGTGTTCTATGGAGCCCTGGGTTTCCAAAAGAGGTCATCAGGGCTTCCACAAAGAGACTGGGGGCACCGGGAAAACAGGCCAGGAGGCAATGCATTGCCATTGCCAGGCCGGATTGCCTGGCTCCATGGATATAGGTAGAGGGCTCACGGTTATATGAAAGGGTCCATGACTAAGTATGAAAAACACTGTGCTTTATAACACCAGGTCAACAACCTCTAAGCGTCATTAAGTATCAGGATTAAGTACAAACAGTCAAGCTCCTGAGGTGCCATTTTTCAAATTAACATAATCTAAGAGCCCTATTTTAGAAACGACTAGGGTTATCATATTTCCAGTTACAAAAAAGAGGGCACTCGTTTGGGGGGGAGGGTAATACAAGGCGGGGGGGAGGGAGCAGTGATATACCTGGGCAGTTTCCCCCAGCGCTGGCAGGTACCTGTCCCCTCACACGCCCATCCCCTCTACCCACCCCTGCCACATACACACCCTGAACAATCCTCAAGCCCTGGCCCTCCAACCCCTGCCCCCCATACTCTTACCTGAATGCAGCTGCCAGGGCTGCTCCCACTTCCCTTCCTGGCTGCATGCTTGCGTGCACGCACACAGAGCACGTGATGACCCTTGCCTCCAAATCGCCTTCCCCCTCTTACCCCCAGCCCCAAGCAGCAATTTGCTAGAGCAAGCTGGGAAGCACTAGGAAAAACTTTGATGCTGAGTGGAGCTAAATCCCAGCCATTTGTTGATATTTTTAAAAACCACCTGCACGGAGATGGGAAGACCCATAAAAAGGACACGTCCGGAAAAATCCGGATGTATGGTAACCCTAGAAGTGACTATTTTTTCTCATACTGTACATTATCATAAATACCTCATACTGAACATGCTACCAAATCATGCGTTTTCCTTTAAGGAAAAAAAACCCCACCAAAATAAACCACTGAGTGCTAGTATTGCTTTGCACTGTATTTTGTATCAAAGGCCAATCCACATATGCCTTCAGCCACTCAGACTGATGAGGATAAACCAAGAACAAAGGGTTTGTGCTGCTATTGTTACACATTAAACACCAAGGAAAGTGAATACAAAACTTTCAGATAATGAACAAGTATCTGAGATGACTAGATTACAGAGTGAATACTGGATGATTTATGTTCAGATACAGAAATGCGTATGCATAGGTAAATCCATACAAACAAAAGCAGAAAATAAGGAAGGACAAGCTAATCGGGGAAGTTGATACTAACGTGTGTTTTGACACATTAATTCCATCACACCTGGCATATACGTGCTGGGTTATTTTTTTCAGAACACTCCTCCAGAGGCTTGGGTCACATACAGACACATTCAGTTTCTCCTGGGTGAGTCACTGCTGTCTCAGGAGAACTACAAGTGTACATCTGTTCAGGGTTTTTCTCCCAAAGCAAACGGACACTCCAGGAGAAAATAACCAGGAAACAGCCAGAGTTAAAATCACTCCCAAGAGGGTTCCTTTTAGGAGAACAGATATCTGTACAAGTTCTCTTCTAAAGAGAAGCCACAGCACAGTCCTCTAGCCTCCCAAGGTGCTTGGTCACACCTCTCCCCAAGACAGTGTTTCTCTCTCTGGACTCTGCTGCAGCAGCTGTGCAACGCACAGAACACTCCTCCCCACTTCACAATCCCACACTGTAATCCAGGGAGATACAGGCCGACTCTGAGCAGTGCCCTGCAGACTGTTGCCATTTGTCTCCAGGCAGACTGAGGGAGTCTACAGAGCATGCTGCATACTAGAAGCTCTCTTCTCTTTTGAGGGCTCAGCATATGAAATGTCTGTTCAGGTACCTCAGAGTAAGATTTTCTACCAGGAAAACAAATGCAGGAGAATTATTTGAGCTCATTTGAGCATGAGTATGCAGCTTAGTCTGTTACAGAAATATTTGTAAATTACACCTCCCACTACATCTGTATGGCAAATATCCCCTATCACAAACCAAAAGCTACAACACAAGGTTTTAAGTGACCTAAGTTCACAAAGAAAGTTTGTTGCCAAGTCAGAAATAGAATCCAGATGTTCTGACTACCAGCCAGTTGCACTAGTCACTAGAAACACCCAGAATAATCATATAAGATGGGCTTGAAGAGACGATCAATAGTGTCTCTAGTACAGGTGACAATTATTGTGTACTGGTATTCAGTTACACTAAGCCAGTGATTTAAAACAGGATGAGATGTAAAAACTTATCTGAAAAATCTGTTCTTTTAATTTTAGCATCATACTTTTTACATTTATGAAATAAATACCTAGTTAATAGTGATATTTAATTTTTTTTAAAAACATTGAAAGAAATTAACATCCTTCAATAAAACTACTTAAGAATTAAGTTATTTAGGACAATTGTCTTACTAAGCACAAATCTCTCTCACTTCAATGCATTTAAAAGCTAACTCTAAACATCAAAGTTATGAAAGTTTTGTGTACAGCCCCAAAATTTTAGAAACAGACCCTTTTCAGTTATGTTTCAAAAGTATACATTTACGGAACTTAGGGATTCTCAGACAACGCCACACTTGTGTAAAAATATGCCACTGACTTTGAAGGCTAGAGTCCTGATAGAGGAATATAGTGTAGCTGAAACATTTCAGATTTCCCAACTTGTGGAAGTTCAATGCATCAGGAAGTTCTTACTGCAAATCATATGCTATTTGATTATTTTTGTACATTTGAGTTTGTGTTCTGACACTAATGATGCAAATGGGGCCCTGGATGTCTATTCATCCAGGCTGGAAAAAAAATACAACAGTATAGGTTTTCTTTTTGAAAAGAGTGCATATAAAATTTGGAATTCTAGTAACAATTAGCAAACTAAATAAGTACAAATACTGCTCAATAAAGGGGCAAATAAGAATTTAAAAGTAAATTTACATATGATATTGAAGAAATAACAGCCGCTTCAAAACAGGCTATTTAGATGGCCTGCCTTTAGAAGCAGGAAAAGGCAAATGCTTAAAAAGAGCATTCAGACAATATGTAGGACTTTTGGACCTTTTTATCTGGGCAAATGTTTAGCAAACAAGATTTCGATGAGGTACTGTTTAGGAAGTGTGTTACAACAGATACCTATTTATCTTATCTTTAAAAACTCAACAACAATTGTAAGATGCCCCAAACCTTTTGTGGGAAGAACAGCAAATATTAACAGGATATAATATTTTGCTTTGAGTCTCTAATAACAGGTAAAGAGAAGTCAACTTTTCTCCTATTTCAATGTCACAGGTTATCAATGCTTTACTAAATTATCTACAACATATGACGAAAAGAGAAAACAGTCTAGGAGCATCAGTGGTTAAAAACTTGGGATAGGCAGATTTAACTAGGGATAAAGAAAAGATGTATAGCAACTGTGGTTCTTTCAGGAATGTCTCTGCAAGCCCAATAAGATATTCCTTCAGGCAGCAGGCATGCAAAATCATCCCTCAGCACCATATCAGTTGTGGAGCACAAACAGCCTTACACCCTCCTAAATCCTTCCAATAAGTACCTCAATCTAGTGAAGGAAGTATACCAAATATGCCCTTCTGTTCTCAAATCAAACCGTACAACACAACTAAGGGATGCGCGGGCTGGGAGCAACCCGAGCCCTTTTTCGTGCTGCATGCGGGCTGTGGCCAGCAGCCCGGGCACGCCGGGTCGGAGAGGGAAGGCCGTCGAGCTGGAATTAGGCACAAACGCGCATCGGTAGTTTAAAAGATTGTTTACTTACACCGAGATGGCAATGGTGCAGGCTGGAAAGCTTGCTTAAGTTGCGGTTACAGACAGAAAAGAAAACAAAACTCGAACCTGCAGGGCACGAGGGTACGTCGCAAAGGGTTCCGGCGACGGGAAGATGAAAAATACGAGGGTACGTCGCAAAGGGTTCCAGCGACGGGAAGATAAACCTGCAGGACTCGAACCCAGGTAGAAGAGCTCTGAGGCCGGTCGTAAGGGCTCACACGAAGTTTGCTAGGCTCCGTGGATTCTTCTGTTCACTCACTCACACGAAGTTTGCTAGGCTCCGTGGGTTCGGTTCTCTTGCGCGCGGGAAGGGATACGTCTGGATTGCGCTCGGCGACGGTGAGAGGCTAGAGGTTGATCAGACCTCCGTTGCCTGCTTTAAATGCACTGGGTCCGTAAGGATCCGCAGCGCTTAGAGATCTTCACACAGCGTGAAGTCTCTTCCTCCCTTGTTCGTGGAGTCCTCCAACTTGGGCGGAACCACTCAAGCCTTTTATACGGCTAGCAAGCCAATCACTAGCCGCCACGTGTGAATAATTTAGAACTGGCCAATAATGGGACTCGAATTAGCATACAAATGGCGGGAACTCTTTGCAACGAGCATTTCTGTGCTGCAACAAAGAAATGCACCCTGCAAAGAAAGCTTCAAATTGGCGGGAAATTCTCCCTTGCACCGGGGTTCTCTTTTGCAGCAGAAAACTCCACCGTGCAAGGAAGCTATAATTTAGCGGGAACAATTTAGCAGTGCCGAAGCACACAAAAACAAAAATCACACCCTTTGGGTTGTGACAAGGGAGAGGGTAAGATGGGCAGGAAGCATCAGAGAACCTGTGACTTGAAAGCAAGCAACAGCTTAAGAGGATACCTAGTTAATATTTCATTTGTAGAATATTTAATGAGTAGTGCCCACCTCAGTGGAAAGTGGTTAAGTTTAACCATGGTTGCAATGCTTCCCAAATTGAGCATCCGAGCATGAAATTAAGTCCAAAGAGTAGTGCTTAGTGAATGTACTTGCTTAACTCCCAAGATGCTGCTCTAAATACACTGCTGTAGTGTCACAGATACAGCCCACAGAGCCCAGTCATCCAGCCCCCAGCGCTGACCCTGGTCTGAGTTAACCCATATGCTTCATGGTGCATGCCGGATCAACTCCACATGCAAGACCCATATGATACATGTTACACATGATGCTCATTCTCGAATCTGGACTGGCAGGGGTGGGGAGGGTGGGTCACTTCATGTGACATGAATCGTGAACCAACTGAGGTAGGCACAGTGTGTGGAACCAGTCCCAGAGCAGGTGCCATGTGAGTGGGTTATGGCAGGAGGTCCCATATACCTTATCTATTTGGCTCATGGACCAGCCCCACATGAATCATCCAGCCCATGGGGCCAAATTAGTATGACATCCCAGTTGGATATGCTAATGGTTCTTCACCCTTTCAGGCTCAAAGCACCCTTAGGCTCAAGGAATGCCTTGGAAAATGCCAGATCTTCGTTTTCATTCGTTTTTCTTGACTACATAAAAATAATAAAGCAATTCTTCTGTTGCAAAGAATTAATAGAGACCCTGCCAACAGGTCAGAATGTTTTGAATTCTGAATTCCTATTTAAAATCTCCGGGTTTAATTTAGAGAATCATGTTTGCATGCCTAATAGTGTTAACATTCCCTGGCACTCTTGAAAGAATCCCATGGCCGCCTAGGGTGCCACAGCACCTTGTTTGAGAATCACTGGGGGAAGCTATTTAGTCTACTTCAGTGGAGTGGAATTTAAATTGTACTGGTAATCTTGTGTGCTGTGAAATCATGATTAAATCAGGTAGTTTTGAAAAC